GCGGGGTGCGCGGGCGGGAGGTCCCCTCTGCGGCGGCGGCTTCTGCCCCCCGCGCCTGCCCCTTGCTCGGGGCAAATTCCGGGCGCGCCCCGCTGCGCGGCGGCGCTCGGGGATCAGCGCCGCGACACCGGCGGCACCCGGACCGGCCGCTGTCTGCTCCGGCGCCCACGCGGCGCGGGGGCTTCCCGCAGGTGCGGGGGTGCGTGGGCAGGGGGGGGGTCCCGAGCAGGGTGCAGGCGTCGGGCGCGCCCGGGAGCCGCCATCGCGCGCGTCCCCCGGGAAGCGGCTCCGGATCCTGCGCCGGGTGCGGATACCCGGCACTGTGCAAGCCCCCGGCTCGCATCCGTCCCCCGGAGCATCCTGCCCGCCCCGCTGTTCCCATCCATCCCTCCAGGCCGATTAAGCGCCCGCGCCCTGACGGAGCTGCCGGGGGAGGCGGGCTGGATTTAGCCGTAACAGGATTGCGGAGCGCGAGCCTGGGGGCGGCCGCGCGCTGCTTAGCGCCGTGTTTGCCACTGGGAAAAAAAAAAAAAAAGGGAGGGAAAAGGAGAGGGAAAACAGCGTGTGTGCCCCCATCCCGGCTCGGCGGGCGGGGAGCGGCGGGGGCGGCGCGGGCGGCGCTTCCCGGTGCCGCAGTCCCCCCGCCGGCAGGACGGCCGCTCAGGCGCCCGCGGAGCCGCCGGGAGCGCCGTGCCCGGAGCGGCCCCGCGCCTCCCCGCTCCCGCTTCTCGCCACACCATCTGGCACGAAGGTTTCGCAGCCGTTTCGGTGCAGGTCGCTGCGGGGGCCGGAGCGCGCGCGCTTCCCTGGCCCTGCAACCGTGACCCGCTCTGGGTCTGTCCTCCCCACCGGCCTTTCCAGACCCACGGGAGCTGGGAAAGGGCACGGAGAAAACCACCTCCCGCCAATTCCCTGGGAGTTTTGGCTGCTTTTGCGAACATTAAATAAAATTAGGGCAGGATGCGGAGAGCCCGCAGCCGTGGGGCAGGGAGGCGGGCGCAGCGTCACCCGAGCCCCCCCGGGCAACCCGATCCGGGCGCCGCGGCAGGCGGGCGGCCGCGCTGGCGGCTTCGGTTACGCGGCTCCGGCTGCCTCGGTCTCCCCCGGCGCCGGGGGGGCGATGCGGGAGGGCGGGAGCCGGGGCCCCGCCAGCCTCGCGGTGTCCCCCGCGGAGCCCGGGCCCCCCGCCGGGCTAGGGCCACACGCGGGGCTGGCGCCGTCTCCACGAGGATGCGGAGTGTGGAAGCCCCGGCAACGGGACCAGGACACGTTGGGTCCTGGCCCTGGTGCGTGGGGGTCCCTGGTGCCGCTGTGTGGACATGAATGGGCTGCAGGTTGCACAACCCAGACCCCGCTCATCTATCACCTCCTGCTGCAGAGCTTGCCCCAGATTCACCCCCTTTTCCCGCTCGGAGCCCTTCCGCACATCCTGGCACTTCCCCACACACGGAGCCCCTCTCCTTCACCCCAAGCAGCCGAAATGCAGCCACCCCCTGCTCCATCCCGCTGCCCGCAGCCCCCAGCCTCCGCCAGCTCCATGACACCCTGCGGGGGGACAGGACCCCCGTGCACACACATGGGGTGCCACAGTGCCCCCAGCCCCAAGGTGGAAATGGGGGGGGCAGCGCCACTGCATCCCCCGGCACTGTCTCTCACTGGCTCTTGCTTTAATTGCCGCCTCGTATTTGGAATTATTCCCAAATCCACTGCCGGGACTTCAGCCCCTGCACTCAGGGCCATCTCCCTCCATCCTCGCATCCCATCTCCATGCAGATCAACTCCGGGAAATCCTATGGAGAAGCCCCTGGTGTTTGGTACAGCTGGTGCCTGCGGGAGCCGTCTCTGCCTGGGAAAGCCGGGGTGAGGGAAGGGGCTGGTCCCCCCAAAGCCTCCCAGCTCCTCCAGTTCTGTCCAGAATCCCTGTATCCTCCTCTCCACTCCTGCCTGCTCCGGAGCCCGGAGCCATCATCACCTCCGAGCTGTGTCCCAGCCCTGCCGGCTCCATCTTTCCCTGTATCCCATTCTCCCTAGTGGCAGCTCAGCCCCGGGACCACTGCCTGTTTTGGGGGGAGATGACTCCCCCGCACAGGGCAGGTGGGCTGCCAGGGGCGCTTTGCCCCATGGAAGCTTCTCCGGCCACATCTGGTTGCGCTCTGGGAGTGGAGGGAGCCGGCGTCGAGGCCAGGCCTCCTGCCCAGAGGTTTCGCGGCCTCTGCGCTGCCACTTCCTGGGAATGGCAGGGCGACACGGCCCTGTGGAGCGAGGGGCAGCAACGGGAAAGGCTCTGTGCTGGTGAGCGAGCACAGGAGCCGCGAGGGGGGACTGCAGCAGCCAGTGCCGCTGCTCACTGCCTCCCGAATCCCTGCAAGGCCTCCCGTCGACGTCCATGATGCCATGGGCACACGGATGCCGTGGGCACATGGATGCGATGGGCACATGGATACGATGGGCACACAGATGCCATGGGCACAATGATGTTGTGGGCACACGGATGCGGTAGGCACATAGATGCCATGGGCACATGGATGCAGTGGGCACACGGATGCCGTGGGCACACAGATGCCCTGGGTACACAGATGCTATGGGCACATGGATATTGTGGGCACACGGATGCGGTGGGCACATGGGTGCCATGGGCACACAGATGTTGTGGCCACATGGATGCCATGGGCACATGGATGTGCTGCACACATGGATGCAGTGGGCACACGGATGTGCTGCACACATGGATGCAGTGGGCACACGGATGCCATGGGCACACGGATGCCATGGGCACACCGATGCGCTTCCTCGCCAGCTTCCCACCTCCCTGCACCGCCACGGCTGGGGTCCCTCCGTTGCGCCCCAGGACAAGGCGGAGGCGCCGGGCGCACGCGCAGCTCCGCGCGCTGCGGGGCCGCCCGGCTCGGCCGCGCCGCCGTCCGCGGCCATCTGCGCGCGGAGGCTGCGCGAGGGCCGGAGCCGCGCGGTTATTTTTAACCAGGCCGCCGCCGATTGGAGCGTTCCTCGGTTATATCACTAAATCCCCGCCGGGCCCGCTTACTTCCAGCCCAGCGAGCCCCGGCGCCGCTGCGCACCCGTAACCATTTCGGCGCCCGTCTCCCCTCTGCCCCCGGCTCCCGCAGCTGCCCCCGTCCTCGCGCACCCCCCGCTGCTGCTTGGTGCCAGCCCCAAATCCACACTTTTCCCTATGGCTTCCAAGGGATTTTTTGGCCCTAAAGAAGAAATCGACTTCCCACGAGCACAGTAAATGAGGAGGAAATCGATAAGGCCAAAGTGTGCGGAGATGCAGCATGGCTCACGGCTCCGGCCGCTTTGGCCACATCCCTCTGGGAGCCGCCGGGAGCCGCGCGGTCCTGTGGGGAGCACAGCCGGAGCGGGATGCCGGTGGGATGCTCGCGGCCGCCGCGGTCCCCGGCATGGCCCCGTCGCCATCCCCATGCGCACACCGCTTCCCTCGGCAGCCGGAGCAGCAAGGGGTTAAGGCGCGCGGCGGGGCCACGTGACGCGCCGGGGATGCCGTTTTGCCCAAGATCAGTGCGGATTAGGTCGCAATAGCGGGAGGAGAATTTCTGGGCGCTGCGCTCGCCCCCGCGGCCGCCCCCGGGCCCTCGCGCCGGCTGCGCCGGGGGATGCGCCGCGGCCGGGCCGGGGAACCCGCCGGGTAAGGGGCCCCGCGGGGCCGCTCGCGGCTTTCGCTGCGGAGCATCGGGCTCCACACGGTTACGTAAGGAGCCCCGGGGGGATGCGGATACCGGGGGTCAGTGCCGGGATGCAGGGGGGCTGCGGATTGCCGAGCCGGGCTGGATGCTCTGCTGATCCCGGCTCGCTCCGGCCGCAGTGCTGCAGGGGCAGCGCTGGCCGGGCTCGCTGCGGATGCAGGTGGCCGCGCTCGCAGCAGGGCAACGGCTCCCATTTTCTCGCCCGCCTGTGCGGATAACGCTGCGGAGCGGCTCACGTGACGGCAGCCGCATGGAGCCACCGGCACAGGCTGCTCCCCGCCGGGCTCTGCGCCGCGTCCACTGCCCCCAGCACAGGGATGCAGCTCCAGGGGCATCTCGCCTAAGGGGATGGGGCATCCCGGCTCCTGCCCCTGTGCATCCAGGCTGCTCCTGGCCCCAGGACACTCTGTGCGGCGGCTGCGCAACCTTGACGGGCGGCAGCTCCGGCCCCCACGCTCACCCGTCCCCTCTGCCTGCAGTGCATGAGGCTGCGGCGTCGCCGAGAGCCCCCGAGCGCCCGCGCCGACGCCGCAGGCGGCAGGAGCCATGTCGGGGTCCTACGAGGAGCCGGCGGCGGCCGCCGAGGAGACAACCGACAGCTTCTGGGAGGTGAGCGCCGGCGTCCCCAGCGCCGTCCCCGTGCGCCCCGGTGTCCCCAGCGCCGTCCCCGTGCGCCCCGGTGTCCCTAGTGCCCTCCCCGTGCGCCCCGGTGTCCCCAGCGCCGTCCCCGTGCGCCCCGGTGTCCCCAGCGCTGTCCCCATGCACAGGAAGGGCTGCAGGAGCCGAGGCTGAGCCAGCCTGGAGCCAAAGCTCCTCCATCCCATCCCAATCCTCACCCAAATCTCCGTTCCCCACGTCCCGGCCACACTTTGTCCCTGTCCCAGGTGGGCAACTACAAGCGCACGGTGAAGCGCATCGACGACGGGCACCGGCTCTGCAATGACCTCATGAACTGCGTGCACGAGAGGGCCAAGATCGAGAAGTCCTACGCCCAGCAGCTCACCGACTGGTCCAAGAGGTGGAGGCAGCTCATTGAGAAAGGTACCCGGACCCCTGGGTCCCACTCCCAGGCCTTGGTGTCCCCAAGGGAGGCCACCGCGGCACCCGTGGCTTGGTTGGGCTCATGCTCTCCGTCCCTGCAGGCCCGCAGTACGGCAGCATGGAGAAGGCGTGGGTGGCCATCATGACAGAGGCGGACAAGGTGAGCGAGCTGCACCAGGAGGTGAAGAACAGCCTGCTCAACGACGACTTCGAGAAGGTCAAGAACTGGCAGAAGGACGCCTACCACAAGCAGATCATGGGAGGCTTCAAGGAGGCCAAGGAGGCCGAGGACGGCTTCCGGAAAGCGCAGAAACCTTGGGCCAAGAAGCTCAAGGAGGTGAGGAGGGAACGCAGAGCATCTGCAGACGCCAGCCAGGGGCCACCTCTTTGCCCAGGCTCTGGGAAGCCTGGCTCAAGCCAAGGGGTGCCCGGGGAGCGGGAGGGCACAGGGACGTGGAGAGGGGCTGTGGCTGCTGCTCTGCGCCCATCCCCTCTCCTCCTCCGCTAGCTGGAGACGGCCAAGAAGGCCTACCACCTGGCCTGCAAGGAGGAGAAGCTGGCCGTGACCCGCGAAGCCAACAGCAAGGCAGAGCAGTCCAACACCCCCGAGCAGCAGAAGAAGCTCCAGGACAAGGTGGAAAAGTGCAAGCAAGACGTGCAGAAGGTGCGAGCGCGCGGGCGCTGTGCCGGCGCAGGGGAGCTGCAGAGCTCGGGGAGAGGGTCTCTGAGCGGCTCCAGCGGTATCCGAGACACCGCCCGTTGCACCCGCAGGCTCAGGAGAAGTATGAGAAGGTTCTGGATGAGCTGAACAAGTGCACCCCACAGTACATCGAGAGCATGGAGCAGGTCTTCGAGCAGTGCCAGCAGTTTGAGGAGAAGAGGCTCAACTTCCTCAAGGAGGTGCTGCTGGACATCAAGAGGCACCTGAACCTGGCGGAGAGCAGCAGGTAGGTGCACCTGGCCGGGGAGAGCACCTGGGATGGTGCTGCCGTGGTCAGGAGCACGGAGGAGCAAAGCCAGGGCCAGCGACAGGGCCTGTGGCCACCAGCAGACCAAGCCCTGGAGATCCGGGTGCTCCCGGAGCTCCCTAGGAGCCCTTCAGTGGCTCCTAGGCTAAAACGCAGGCTCGGCCTCTTGCCACCACCCCATCCCTGGCCAAGGGCCCCGCTCGCCTGCAGGGTCCATCCCTGCTCCCAGCATCCCACCTCCCCGCTGTCCCGCAGCTACGCCAGCGTGTACCGGGAGCTGGAGCAGACCATCCGCCTCTCGGACGCGCAGGAGGATCTCCGGTGGTTCCGCAGCAGCAGCGGCCCAGGGATGCCCATGAACTGGCCCCAGTTCGAGGTGAGGCGCTGCCCCCGCGGCCGTGGAGCCCCGCGCGGGCGCCCTGTGCCCCCTGCTCAGGATTGTGCCCCCCTGCTTTGTGCTCCCAGGAGTGGAACCCGGACCTGACGCACACGATAACGCGGAAAGAGAAGCAGAAGAAGGGCGAGGGGGTGACGCTGACCAACGCCGGCGGCGGTGACACGGGGGCACAGGGAGGGGAGCGCGGGAGGTGAGTGCCACGGGTGGATCCCAAGGGCCTCAGCGGGTGGCCGGCCTCCACAGGGAGATGTAACCCAAGTGGGCACCCACCATGGGGACATGCAGCCCAAGCGGCACCTGCCATGGGGAGATGCAACCCAACTGGGCGCCCACCATGGGGAGATGCAACCCAAATGGGTACCTGCCGTGGGGAGATGCAGCCCAAGGGGGCCCTGCCTTGGGGAGATGAGCAGTGTTTGCCCATCCCTCCTTTCCCACCATCAGCGTGAGCAGCCACGACCGTGGCCAGACCTACAGCGCGGAGTGGTCCGATGATGAAGGCAGCAACTCCTTCAATGCCAGCGAGGCCAACGGGGGCACCAATCCCTTCGACGAGGAGTCGTCGGCGAAGGGCGTGCGGGTGCGGGCGCTGTATGACTACGACGGGCAGGAGCAGGACGAGCTCAGCTTCAAAGCAGGTATGGTCCCCTTGGGGTGCTGGGTGGCCGGCGCGTCTCTGCCACAGCGGGGCTCCTGGGGCTCGCCCTGGCTTTTCTGCCCTACGATCCCGAGTGCCGAGGGTCAATCCTGGAAGTCCCCAGGGCAGAAAAGGAGCCACCAGGAGAGGCTTCACATGCCCCCCAACCATCCCCCCCTTTTACCTTTGGCTTCAGGTGATGAACTAACCAAACTAGGTGAAGAAGATGAGCAGGGATGGTGCAAAGGGCGCTTGGACAACGGGCAGCTAGGTCTCTACCCAGCCAACTACGTGGAGGCTATCTAAGTCTTGTGGTGTTCTCCTCGTTGCCGTCAGCAGATAAATCCACCCTCCGTTGTCTCCATCTCTCCACCAGCCAACCAGCCATTTCACCGTCTGGTCGTTCACTCCTCACAGTTAGAGATTCAGACATATTTTCCGATCAAGCTTTTATTTTTTTAAGAGTTGTCTCTGAAGAGTATTTTGCATAGTTGCTTTTTTTCTTCTTCTTCTAAGATAATGTGAAGCGAAAGATGACGTCCGTTCTTCTGCTTTGGTTGGTTTTCCAAGGGAAAAGCCAACACCTCAAGATCTTAAGGCCCAACCAGTGAGAGCTTCTGACTGGTTGGTTTTTAAAGATACTGAAATCAAGAGCCACCTTCTGATTGGCTTGAACTGATCCGAAACGCACAGCGCTCCTGGGACCAATCAAATTTGCACCCCAGAAATGAGAGGAAATGGAGTTTTACTCCCTTTATTTATTGGTGTTCCCAAGTTCTCCCCAGTTCATCCCTCCCTCCCCAAGGGAAGGGATGAACATCCCCCTCCTTCTCCAGCATCCTCCGTCCCCGTGTGGGAGCTGCTCCCTTCCACCTCGCAGCGATCCCCGAGCAGGGCCAGGAGCAGTCAATGGCCAGGTAGAGCTGGGGCTTCCCAGTTTGGTGACACCTCCTCAATCTCCCCTTCGGAGCCAGGCCAGGCCCCTTCTCTGCCCGGAGATGCCAACATCTTGCTGGAAACGTGGTCTCTGGAAGGGGCAGGTGCTCCAGAGCCCTCCCGGGGCAGGAGGAGCTCGGGAGCAGCCGGGAGGACGAGGCCGCGGGGAGCGGACTCCAAGGCAGCGGTGGGACCCGCGGAGCAGCTGCAAAGACAACGCCGACGGTCCCTCTGCCCTGGGCGACCTGGGCACGGAGCCGGGTGGCCCTGGCCCAGTCCAGCTCTGCCAGCACCACCCGGGCTCCATCAGCCGCTCCGTCCCGCGCTCCTCGCCCGCATCCCGCCCCTTGTCCGGCCCGTGGCCGGGCCAGTCCCTTGGCCCCAGGGAGCGAGCGCTCCCCCAGGCAAGTCACCCTGATGGGGAAGAGGGGGGACAAAGAACAGAAGTCAAGAAAAGCACCCAACCAACCACCTGTCTCAGCAATGCACCCCGTTTTTTTGTACATTGATTGTGTAATTTAAGAAGTATATATATAATATATATATATATTGTGATTGTATTACCGTGGATACAAGAAAAAAAAACAGCAAGTGAAAATGTGAGCTCTGTGAGTGTCCTGCCGCCTCGGGGACCGTCTGCCCCGCGCGCCCGTCTCGTTGCATCCCTAAACCTGCTGCTGGGCAAAAGCTCCGGGTCGAGCCCTGCTTTCCTGCCGCGAGCTGCAGGATGCGCTGGGATTCCTGCCATCCGCCCCAGCTGGGGAAGGACAGAGGGACCTGGGGCACTTCGGGTGGCAGGTCGAGATCCGCAAGGCTGCAGCGGGAATTGGCAGCGGGAGCGACGATCCGCTCGCCGGGATGGCGGGATAGCGGTGCCAAGGGCGGCCCGGGGCTGCGGGAATGCCGGGCACCCCGGCGGGACCCCCGGGCGAGGGGCAGTGTCGGGGGTTGGTGGGTCCCAGCACCATCCGAGGCCACCGGGCACCCTGACCTCCCCGGGAGGGATGTGGGAGAAACGGAGAAACCCGCTGGTGCTGCCCAAATAGAGGGAATTTCACCCAAGCAGCGCGCGGGTGGCTGGGGGACACAGGGACCCTCTCAAGGCTCCGCTCGGCTCCAACCCACAAGGAAATCACCAGAGACACATTCCATGTTTTTTTTTTTTTTTTTCCTGCATTTTTTTCTCCCCTTTTTTTGCCGGGACAAGGGCCGGTTCCTCCTCCCCGCTCCTCCCCGCACTGCCCGCCGCGGCACTTGCGAGCTCGGGCGCAGCACAGGGGCTGCTCGGCTGCCTACATGGGACAGAACGGGCAGGAAGGCAAGAAAAAGGCAGTGGCCACCACAGGCAGCTCTTTTAAGTGTAAAAAGAAAACCCCAAAACCCCCCGGGTGTATTATTTTTCCCCCGCCTTAGACTCTTACAAAGCGTTTCACGGGCATCCGGAGCTCCCTCCTTTACTCCTCCTGTGAACCTAAACCACAGCTTGGCGGCAGCCAAAACCAAAAGGAAAACAAATAATAAAAAAAACCCCTATAATATTAAAGATCAACAAGGCTGGGTAACTTATACTCTTATGAAACGCACAGCATAAACAGCCCCAGGTCTCTGTCCAAGTTCTGCTGCAGTGCTCTGGGTTTCAGATTTATCTTCCAGAGGGAAAAGGCAGAAAGTAGATTTTTCTTTCTTACTTTTTTCCTGCCCCGCTTTCCTGGGAGCAGGGATCGGGCAGTGGAAGCGGAAGCTCGGCCAGGGGTGCGGGCGGCTGCACGGAGGGACCAGGGCCACCGTTTGCTGTCACCTCTGGGGCAGAAATCCCTCCTTGGAGGGGCTGCGTCCCAGTGATGGGGACGTCCCGGTGGCTTCATCCCCAGGGTGAGGATGGACTTGGGGGGACATGGGTTGCTCGGTGCTCCATTGCCGGCAGCTGGGAGCAGCTCTGTACCCCAGCCGTGGTCCGTGCAATCGGCAGTCCACATCACCCGTGGTCCGTGGCACCCGTGACACGTGGCACCCGTGACACGTGGCACCGCTGCCACGAGGCCCCCCGGCGCGGCCTGTCCCTGCGCGGCCGCTCACAGCGGGTGCACAAACTGGTAGACGAGGCGCTGGGAGATGTCGGGCTTGCGGATGATGCCCTTCTTGTAATACTGCCGGATGGAGCGGCTCAGCTTGTCGTAGTTCATGGCCGGGCGGTTCTTGCGGATGCCCCAGAGCCGGGCCACCTGCGCCGAGTCCTCGATCTTGAAGATGCCTGCGGGGAGCACGGCGCCGTGGGGACGCGTGGGGGCAGCGGCGGCGCGGGGGGCCACGGCGGCGCGGGGCGCCGGACCCACCTTTCTCCTTGTTGAGCCAGCGGATGAAGCGCCCGTAGTTGTGCGGTTTCAGCAGCAGCTCCTTGAGGAACTGCCAGAGGTGGATGGGCTGCCCGGCGCAGGACGAGTCCACCTCGCTGTCCGTCCAGGCACCGTCACCCGCTGCACCGGGGGACGCGGAGGGGCTGAGCGCGGGCGCCACGCGCACCCGGGCGCCCCACATCCATGGGCACAGCCCAAGGACCCCCCAGGGGTGATGGGAACAGGGATGAGGGTCTCCCAGTGCTCCCTCCCACAAAGCGTTTGCATTCGGGACAGAGCGGGGCGCAAAGGAACGGCCACGGCGTGGGGCGCGAGCATCAGGCTGAGCCCGCACAAACTCACCGCAGTATCGCCCGGCGCCTGGCGCCGCTTTCTCCTTCATCCAGGCGGCTGGAAGGGAAAAGCGCCGGGTGAGGAGGGGCTGGCGCCGCGGGGGCCGCGCGCCGGTGCCGGCACCCACCCGATTTCCAGATGTCGAGGTGGGCGTGCAGCACGTCGCCGCAGGCGGGCGAGCGCTCGCAGAACTGCTGCTCCGACATGGCGCACAGCTCCCTGCCCGACAGCTCCTGGAACGACTTGCCCAGCTGCGGCAGCCGGTACTGGTGCTCCGTCCACAGGATCCACTTCTGCACGTTGCCGGGGCTCCAGTCGGCCGGGTCTGTGCAGAGGCAGAGCCCGGACAAACTCAGCGCGCGCCGTGGCGCGAGCCGGGCGGCGGGCGCGCGCGGGCACCCACCTGCGGCGATGTTGAGCAGCTTGCAGGCCGTCTCGATGTCCTTGAGCACCTCGCCGAGCACGAGGCTCTGCACCTGCTCCAGCGAGCGCTCCTCCACGGGCAGGCTGCCCACGAGGTCCAGCGTGCCGGCCGGCCCCGCGCCCTGGCTGTCGATGACCGGGCACTGCTCGGGCTCCTTGGGCGCCTGGGCGCGGGCGCCGGGCGCGGGGCCCTTGGGCGCCCAGCCGGTGTGCTGGGCGTGCGGCGCCTCGCAGTAGTGCAGGCAGAAGGCGGGCAGGGC